ATATTGAGTAGTGTGTGGGGGGGGGGGGGGGGGGTGAGGCAATTAGCAACATTTTTTGTCACGATTTTTGATATAAGGCAGAAAAAAATTTGCACCATAACTTTTAACATATGACAAAACTCGAGTCTTTTCTGTAACAATATGAATTTATTGCAAAAGCAGATGAGCAGAATACACGGGCTGTTATAATTATTCATGAGTAGTTGTGGATACAGAATTGTTATCTAACAGTATGTGTAGTAATTGAGCGTTGTTATAGCGGTGCTGAGATCCATCAAAAGTTGAAGCAAAATGAACCCACAATTTCTGATTGAGCAATAAATAACAGTTAAAATGCACCAGAATGCAGTATTATAGGCCTACATACATTTTTTTTAAAATTTTCCACACCGTGTATTATACATACACAAACGTTATATATATACATACATACAGTATATTATATATACATACAGTTTTAAAAATTTTCCACACCGTGTATTACACATACAGTTTTAAAAATGCTTCGCCCCCTCGTGTCCGCTTACCGCCCCCCCCCCCCCTCCCTGGCATTTTGCTCAGGCTACGGCCCTGAAGACAGACGCGAATACCTTTAATCTTATGTCCCCTATAGCTAGCCAGTTATGCTGCAATCTCGAGATTATTATTATTATTATCTATATATTATATATATTTTAATATTTCATTTTTTATGTGATGATTCTTGTGACCTTTGGTAATTACTAAGATGGCGGAGTCATACTATATGATTCTTCTTCTTCTCATTATTATTTTTATAGCACAATCCTTACTCCTTCCAGATGCCCGTTTTAAAATTGACATTCTACTGGCACCTGAACTCGCTGTGTCATCTATTACCCACTGCTCTGTGATGCCGTTTTGTTTCTCGTGGCCTGTGATGCCGTTGCCGCCATTCTGTGTCCTGTCCTGGCCTTTCTCCTAAGCGAGTCAGTGCTGTATGTGATAAACAGGCGCCATTTTCTTCAACAGCCAGGAAGTAACAGGACGGAGATTGTGGGATAATGCTGAACATATTTGACAAAGAAAGAGATATAATCTGACCGACTTGTAGGTATATGGAGCAAGTGTTTATGTTACTGTGATCTCCAAGCTGCAGCACCAGAAGTAAACATAAAGTTTAGCAATCGCTGACAGAAATATTACAGGATCTACTATCGGAATGGAAGCCATGTTAGGGCAGTCTAGACGAGGTGTAAATCCAAGATCAGGACAGGTGACAGTACAGACACAACCTCCATTAGCTGAACAGGAAACAAATACAACATCAGCTACACATCCTCAAGTTTTCTTAGAGAAGGCAGAATGTGTGCGTTCCTTCAGTACTAAACTGAAAGATGATAGAGACATATTCATAACTGGGTTAGCCATAGATAAGGAACACATGTTTGTTGTGGATAATGGAAACAACAGAACAAAAGTATTCACACATGAAGGACAATTTAAGTTTGACATTAAAGTAAACAAACCATGTGATGTGGCTGTGTCACAGACTGGTCACCTGTATATAACATCACCAGGTGACAGATGTGTCCAAGTGTACTCCACCAGAGGTCAGCAGGTGACAACCATGGGTCAGGGTCTACTGGAGTGGCCACTGGGTATTACACTGAACAGACAAGGTCATGTGATGGTTTGTGACAGAGGAAAGAAGTCCATCTTCACATTCCATGCAGACAGTGGACAGCTCCTGAACACTATTCCACTCAGTATGTGTAGAGGCCCGGTGTTCATCACAGTGAACAGTGTGAATGATAACATTGTGATATCAGACTGGGGACGCTGTGTACATGTGCTGTCACCTACTGGTGATCATCTGTACCAGTATGACGGCAGCAGAGAAGGCAGTGAACTGTGGTATCCACGTGGAGTGTGCACAGACAGCTATGGTCACATCTTCATTGCTGACACTGGTAACGACAGGATAGTGGCACTGAGTCCACAGGGACAGTTTATCAGATACATTGTCACTGAGGATGATGGGTTGAAGTCTCCCAGTGCAGTAGTCATCAACCCTGCTACTGGTCAACTGGTGGTGGGAGAGTTTTACGGCAATGTTAAGACATTCCAGTACATTGACCTGAAACAAGGTAAGTAACATGTATTAACTGTGGATAGATATGATTATTATGTAAAAATTTTGAAAGCTATATTACAATGTTTTTATCCATGAATATGTTTGCCTTTATTTCAATTAAAAAAACTTTTAAGCATATTTAAATTCAGTGAGCACACAGCTGTGCTTTAGTAAAAATGTATGTAGAGTGGAGACATTTTCTATAGTTAATACTTTACTGTTACTGACCAATTTCTATGAACCCATTAGTGATTAGGATTTTGAATGATGATGAAGAACTCTTTTTAATGGAATTTATAGTATGCTTTATTTGTATTTTTATTAAGTTACAAGAAAAGCATCTTACATTGTTTAATCCCTGAACTTCTTGTCCATATGTCAGTAAAGAACAACTCAAATCTCACAACAGAACAGTCCAATTCTTCATATTCTTCATCTTGTAGCTGTTCATGAAAGCTTAGATTTACCTAAATTCTCAAACGTACTTTGTCAAGTTTCTTGATGTCTTACCACTTCTAGATTCAAAGACATTTCATCACCAGTTTGTTGTTAACACACACAAATAAATTAAATGTTGAAGTACTTTGGATGATACCTTATTTTCCTGACTTTGTGGATTGTTCTTTGCAAATAAAACTAGCAGACGACCATTTTTCATGAAATGGAACTACTTTTCACAGGAAGTAGTGTATTCATACACAACAGTGACCTTGGGTTTGGAATACAAAAAAATAGTACATGCATTCATACTGTCACAGCATGCAAATTATAATGAAATATACAAAACTAAACACATTTTTATGTAACACAA